GGCAATCACTGTACCCTTTAACCGTATCACTTCATTTCTATCAGTTAAACACGTTGCATCAGTAAATCCATTAGTCTGTAGTTGCGTAAAGACCAATATACCCTATTCTTTAGTGTTTATATCGAAAACCCATAGGGGTTTAGACAACTGGAAGGGGGAAAAGGTCAAATGTATGAAGTTAATTAGAAAAACAGTTATGAGTGTTTTCCATAATTTTCCCCAAACAATGTTAGTAATGAGTTTGATTATCCAAAACAGAAGCAACCATATTTTTACATAACGTCGAAGATAGGATGCAATGAAAAGAAAAGGAGGATATAACTCGAATATTTTATGCTCACTTTATTTTGGTGCCATCCAGCTTTATATAGTTCAACACAACTTTTGCAATATTAAGCATAGAACCAACTTAAGATAAATGTTTGATCACTTTTGTCGGGGCCACACATAGGCAGGGTTGTATCTTTGAGCATATGGTTCAAAAATAGCTACTGCTTCATAATTGCTTCCTTATTTTATTTATCATGTTTGATGAGTCAGAAAACTACAGCTAGATAGAGTTGTTTAGGCTTAAAAAAACTTTGTTCTGGGTAGATATGTTCGTGCTTATCTTAACTTTAAGCACAAATCTTCAGACACAATTGAATTTCAAGTTCAAGCTTGAAAATGACTTCATGTAGAATAAACTCAAACACCCATTATTGATCAGCTCAAGGAGTAAGCAACCCCAATTTGAAGAGGCTTTGCTTGCTGACTCGTCAAACTTTCCTCAACCACTTGAAATCAATTTTGTTCTGGTAAATTTATTTTAGAGAAAAAAACAAAGATGGTATATGTGTGTTCCACTTATATAAATGCTAAGGAGGGATACATTTTCCGGTGAATCAACTCTGGGCTCTCAAGATTTTAGTAATACTCCAGCTTCATAAAAAACTAGAAGTGAATGACCTTGTCCTCATGAAAGTTGCGTCTGATTCAAGACCAGCAATTACCTTCATGTATTTTACATGGGTAACAGAAAGCCTTACAATGAAAGAGTCAGAGAGCATGAGTCCCAGTGAAATATTCAAGATCATTATGATTGCTAACTACAAGTTTGCGCAAACAATATTGACATTCTAATTTATCCAATCCAATAACATTCTCAAGGGAAGACTCAAACTTGACATTTGACAATATAGCATCCACCAATGAAATTGTCAATGCGTCATTCTAAGCTAATTGGCCCTCTATTCTTGATATGGGACTTTGCTAAGGCTTTGACTGGTTAAATTAAGCCTTTCTTATTCAAGTCCTACATAGGTGTTTCGGCTTAAGGTTGCGTAATTTGATTATTACTTGACTCAGATTACGCAAGCATTCGTCACAGATGTCGCCATGTCATAAGTCATCATGGACTTCGACAAGTTGGCCCTAACTCACCTTACCTCTTCATTTACCATGGTTCAATTCGACAAGAATTTACAACTAAACCCGAAACGGGAATTCATAGAAAGAGTAGGTAGCTCATTCGCCTTCTGTGGTACCTTCACCACAATATGCAGTTAACAACCTAATATTGGAACCACTGAACCTGTGATCCATCGCTAGACTCAAGATATAATTTCTCGATTGTTTTGAACTCTTATCAGGCATTCACATCAACTTCAAGAATCATGCGTTTATCAATTGGGTCCAAATACTGCTAATACAAATGGAGGAAGACATCTAAAATTGCAAAACTGGTACATTCTCATTCATTGCCGAATACGCACTCCGCGGCCTCAAAGATCACAACATTCTATTTTCCCTCGCGGAAAACTACGATTCGCATCACCAAGCCTATACATACAGTAACAAATGTCCATTTACTAAACCCTAGAACTCAAAATAATACTAACCATCACCAAGCCTATACATACAGTAACAAATGTCCATTTACTAAACCCTAGAACTCAAAATAATACTAACTGAAATCAGATCATATATAATGCGAACAAATGTCCATTTACTAAACCCTAGAACTCAAAATAATACTAACTGAAATCAGATCATATATAATGCCAACCCCAAATAATTTTGTGACAATGTGAACAAAATCAAATTGAAATACATGCCCCAAAACGCAACCAATAGGATCAAATTTTAAAGAATTACTGACAAGAAGAGAGTTAAGCATAAGCAATAGTTCTAAGCCCCCCCAAAAAAATGGCATTTTTTAAAAATATTTTGGGGAAGAGTAGAAATCTCGTACCAAATTGGGCGAAATCTGATGGGCCAAATAATGGAGTTGAGATCTTTGCTTCTTTGTGAGAGAGAATTCGAGATTTTGAAAAGGGAAGAGATAAAAAATTCGCGAAACACAAAAGTCCTTTCGGTTTTGAAAGTGATGTCTTTTCAGCCAACTATTTAATTGACTGGGAAAAAATTAGTTACTCAAATAATTTGGGCAAAGCTCACAATTCCATATACGAATTTTTTTTTTAATTTTAAAATTGTATAAATTGGAAAGCAGTCGAAAGAATAAAATGGATATTTCGTTCATTTATAATTCAATTTATTATTTTTTATATTTCTATCTCCAACACCGTCCACTACATCCGTTTATTATACTCCAAAAATTAAAAGAATGATTAATTTTGTCATGAAATAGAAAAAACATCATAATATTATTTTATTTTACAATGAAAAAGCCATTGATTGCATGGAAAAAAATGTAAAAATGTAAAGTCTTTTGGGGGGGGAAATATTGTGAGAACTTTCATATTTATAAAGTGAATGTTTAGTTGAATATAATAATTAGCCAGATGTGTTATATTGAACATATCAGTTTCATTTTTTTCATCCGTTAAAAAAATAGAAGATAAAACTATTATAATACTCAAGAACATTTCTAAAAAAAATTAGTGAAAAAGATAAAACATTAAACCTAGAAAACAACAAAAATATCAGGTTTTTTTTTATGAGGGAAATTCCCTACTATCCTTCAAGCCTAATGCATCAACGCACGAGTATTGCACGGGTATTCTAGGAAATTAAACTTCTTATGGGTGTTTACCATGAGAGTTGAACTTGACACCTTGAAATACTACTCATAGACAACTTATCAACTCAGCTAAACCCTCTTGCATTATATATATTAGTCATATTTTACTATCTAAAACCCATATCATTCTATTTATTTATAGTTTTAGGTGTGAAACACCTCATAACTACCTTATCCCTCACAATATGGATGAGAGAGAGAGAGAGAGAGAGAGAATTTTTTCAGGAAAAAAAAATACTTAGAGTGCTATATTGCCATCGGTACTCAAAATTAAATGAACTTTTTGGAGCATTGAAGCTGATGGCATGTTTTATTTAGGTCATTTTAAAAAATATATATATAATTTAAAATTTAGAGTAATTACGTTCATAATTTATTGGATTATTGATCGATCACTATATTTACTAGTTAATTATATGTTCATAGCTATGTTTTAACTGCTTGGGTGTCTGGTCATGTAATTAAATATGAATTGGATGGTTAATCACTTATAATATTTTTCATTAATTAACATAATGAATTTCACTGATATTGCATTGAAAAAGTCTTAATCACTTCACATAATAGATCCCCCCACTTAGGCAAAAGTGACACTAGGCAACTTGTATTGAGCAATTTTATTATATTTCACATTTTATTTTGGAAATATTAACTTGTGACATATTGAGCAAGTCCTATTGTTGAAAAAAACAAATGAAAATTGACGAATCAAATTGATGGAAACTATTAGAAGTGAGTAGCAATCCAATTAATATATAATTACATGCCTAGCTATCCAATAAAAAATTGATATGAACATCAAATTAAGAGATAAAAATGCACTGACCAATAATCTAATTAGTCCAATATGTTCACATTTATTTGCAAAAAAGATTAATCTCACATGTCATTAATTAAGGCCATGTTAAGTGATGAAGTAGTAGAAATTTGTCTTTTTTAAATAAGTACGAACATGGTTGTCTTTATATTAAATTTTGATCAATTTTCTTGTTTTCTCAAAACTTAAGATCGAAATTGCCAAAGCTTTTATGAAACTCTCAAAAGCAACCCTCTGCCACTCCTATATCATGATCAAACCATGTCAATTTATTACCTCCTTTTATCCTCAAGAGGAGCAACATCTAATCTGTTATAGATGCACTCATTTATTATCCTATTATTTAATGTATATTCATAGCATCGTCGTAACATTCTCATTTCTACTATAACCATATTTTAACGCAAGTTATGTTTAATTGCTCCTTAAAGCATTGTTAATGTTATAACTGCCATGTAATATTTTGCACTCAATCTAATGTTCGTATTCTACAATCAGGTAAGACTCTAGAAGTGCAGCTCAATTTTAAATATTCTGATTTGATGAAACTGGGAATCAAAAGAATCTTGGCTATGTACGACTGGATTGGACTAATTCAATTCGCTCTCGTAGTGGGACAAGATCACCTCTACTAGCCTTCAAATAGGAAGGATCTTACGTTATATATGGTTGCAAATGCGAACAAACAACGATGCAGTTTGCTACTGTGGCTTTATGCTTGTTTTCTTGTGGAGTTTTAGTTTTAAGTCTTGTTGTGCGCAGCGGAAATTTCGGCAGCAACTCCGGTGCGCAAGGTGCACAACAAGAGATTAGATCATAATGGAATTCTTGTTTCTCAAAGGGAACAAGAACCAAAAGCCAGATATCTCATCAAAGTGAGATATCAGCTCTTCCTCTCGTCAGCTCTAGGACTGCGCGTCGAGGGAACCTACAAGCTATTACAAATCATGGCAAGAACACAAATTTTACGTGGTTCGGCAAATAGCCTACGTCCACGGGGCAAGGAGGGGGAGATCTACTATTAGAGGGAGAGATACAATTGGGGTTTACAATATCACAAATAAAACTCTCTCACAAACTCTCAGATTCCTCACACAAATACTCTCTCAAAGGGATGCACAAATCAAAGAACAACCACAAAAAAAAACTTTGCTTCTTCTCTATGAATGACCGCCAAATTTCTCTGCACGTTGCCCTGCTTTTTCACCTGCACCCGCTGCCAATTGCTGCTGCAAACTTCAGCCGCCAATGATTTCCCCGTGCTCCTTCACAAATCAGCCGCTACCCCAAAAGAAAAAACCTAAATCACTTGATATATATATAAGACTTGGGTGGGCCGCATTATTTGAGTGGGCCTCCTGCAAATCCGCGCTCACAATTCTCCACCTCGGTGAAGTTTCTTTCAAAACTGAGCCGACACCAAAGCATCCAAAAGTCCCACTTGTTCGACAACAAGTCGAGAACCCGAACGAGCGTCCAAACAATCTCACCCCATCAAAATCAACTCACCAAACCGGCTGCATCATAAAGACTGCCTACGTATCCTCTTGCCCAATGAATCAAGTCGTCCGTAGTTCATCCAAATGGCCTCGAAAGGCCTCAACACCGAAGAATGTTCAAAAGTTCCAAACAATGACCAAACTTGACACCTAAAATAACTTTGGTCAACATATCCGCAGGGTTGTCCTTCGTGTGGATCTTCTCCAACATGACATCTCCTTCATCCAAAACGTCACGAACAAAATAGAATCTGACATCGATGTGCTTCGTGCGCGCATGATAAACCCGGTTCTTCGCCAAATAGATAGCTGACATGCTATCACAATATACCCGAAGGGTCTCCTGTGCAATCCCTAAGTTCTCCAATAATCTCTGCAACCACAAAGCCTCCTTCACAGCTTCAGTCAACGCCATATACTCTGCCTCCGTAGTGGAGAGAGCCACTGTAGACTGAAGTGTGTATCTCCAACACACCGGTGCTCCTGCTAGTGTAAACACATATCGGCTAGTAGACAGGCGCTTGTCCAGATCCCCCGCATAATCAGAATCCACGTAACCAATACAATACTGCCCTGTCTTCTCATTCTTCTGAAATACCAAACCAACATCCACGGTATCTTTGATATACCGTAGAATCCACTTCACGGCCTCCCAATGACCCTTCCCGGGGTCGTGCATGTACCTGGATACCATGCTCACGGCCTGTGGTAAATCTGGCATTGTACACACCATCGCATACATCAAGCTACCCACAGCATTGGCATATGGAACTTTGGACATGTATTCACGGTCCTCAACTGAAACAGGTGACATCTTAGCTGATAACTTAAAGTGGGGAGCTAATGGAGTACTCACCGCCTTGGCATTGCCATCATAACTGAATTTCTTCAGCATCTTCTGCAAGTAACTCCTCTGTGTCAACTTCAACCTTCCCTTCACCCTGTCTCTCTCGATCTCCATACCCAATATCTTCTTTGCTTCTCCAAGATCCTTCATCTCAAATTCGGATGACAGTTCCTTTTTAACTTTCTAATAGCTGAAGTATTCCTGGAAGCTATGAGCATATCGTCAACATATAACAGCAAATAGATATACTCACCATTCTGTAGCTTGTGCATGTAAACACACGGGTCATATGGGCTTCTTGTGTACCCTCGGCCAATCATAAAGCCGTCGAATCTCTTGTACCATTGTCGTAGCGATTGCTTCAATCCGTAAAGAGACTTCTTCAGCTTGCATATCAATTCTTCCTTTCCTGTAGCTTTGAACCCCATAGGTTGTGTCATGTAGATCTCCTCTTCTAAATCTCCATGTAGAAAGGCTGTTTTCACATCCATCTGGACCAAATCCAAATCCAGCTGTGCCACCAATGCCAATAAAATACGAATCGACGAATGCTTCACAACAGGTGAAAATACCTCGTTGTAATCAACGCCCTCTAGCTGTGCATATCCCTTGGCAACCAATCTGGCTTTGAATCTAATTTCCCCAATAGAAGATCCCTCTTTCTTTGCATACACCCACTTGCATCCAATAGCCTTCTTACCTTTCGGTAGCTTTGCAAGTTCCTAAGTATCGTTCTTATGAAGAGATCGCATCTCTTCCTCCATAGCTTCCCTCCACCTATTCGAATCAGAGCTTGACTCTGCTTCCTTGAATGTAGAAGGAACCAAATCATCAACGACTTCTGCTGATAAAGCATATGCAATCATGACATCGTCATATCTAGCTGGCCGACGAATGTTTCTTCTTGGTCTATTAGCTGCAATGGACTCCTGAACATGACCCTGTTCCTGAGTCTCAACATCCACTGTATCCTCTAAATGCCCGGTTGTCATCTTATCTCCTCCCAGTGTCACCTCTGTAGGAGCCTCAATGGATACAATGCTATCTGGAGTGGGTGGAGTCACATCATCCTACACCTGCTGCGATATCTCCTGAATCTGGTCTTCCTCCACCTGCTGAGGAACTTGAGGCTTCATCATGTACGCCTCGTCAAATGTGACATTCCTGCTAATA